ACAATATGGGCGGGGCGATTGGTGCTGACACGGTCTCCTACGCTGCTGCTGGGCTGTTCCGATGCGATATTTTGGCGTGGGCGAGCACGTGCGTGCCACGTTAAGTGACTTGCGCCGTTCCGTTGGCGCCATGTAGTTCAACCCGGCGTACGCGACTGCCTCGGCATGGGGCGTTCGCGTCCGCTGAAAACTGCCGCTGCCTCGCGTGCCTGGCGAGCGCCGCGCCCCGTCGCCACCCGCGCAGGGCAATAATGCAATAAAAAAAAGGAGTGATTGAAGGGAAAAAAACACCCCCCGTGGGGGTCGAACCCACGACCACACGGTTAAGAGCCGTGCGCTCTACCGACTGAGCTAGAAGGGCCACACGGCGCCCTGTGCTGAACCAAACATTTGCGGGGAAGTTTCGGCGAGGCGCCAACAGTAACCAACCCCAAAAGAAAAGCCGAGCACCGGCAAATTACCTTCTGCTTTGGGAAGAGGGGGGAGCCTCGCCAAAGATTAGGGAAGACAGGGGGCAAAGCCGCGCACGAGGATGCCCAAAAAGCGGGGTTTTCCCGTTTCTTATTTGCGCCGCCCCCCGCGGTGCCCCTCGACGCAAGCAAAACCTGCAAGTTTGACGGCGTGGGGGGCGCTCGTCTGCACCGCATTTTCTACGGTCTGAGAAGTGTGAATGAAACTCCTGGGCCAACAGCTTCAAGCATAGAATTGGAAAACGTCGGCGTCCGGCGCTAAGGCCCCCACAAAGGTGCGTAGAATTTCCCCCCTTAAGCATTGCCCTCGCGGCGTGCACGAAAATGGCCCCAAGTTCTGAGACCGCGCCCCCACGGAGGCAGGGCGCATTTTGCCACCGAGAGCAAGGTCCGCTACCACCTAAACTCGCGATCGCCCGACCGCAAAGCAGAAACGCAACGGACAAGGAACCAGTTCATCCTTTTTTTCTGGGAGCCATTGCGCACTACACATTTCAGGCGCAACTGCGAGTCAGCCACAGGCGAAGCTTTGGCCTGGAAATACACATCTGGACGCAAGGCGGCATCCCAACCACACCCCGCATCTGCGCTGACGGGCGGTGGGCGACGCACTTTTAGGACAGCACAGCGAGCAGCGAATACTCTCACTTGCAGATTTATCCCTCCCTTTTCCCATCTCGCAAACCAACAAGAGTTTTCTGCACGACGAGACCGACAGCAAAAGTCTCTGGGAGTTGCTCCGCACGCCCCACCCAGGCCGCAAAGCAACGAAGAGCCAACCGCCGACTCCACGATGGATCGCCCCCATCTTCTCGAGACACTCTCTTTGGCATGCCAAAACTCCCGCTTGCCGCGTTGGGGGTCAAACTGTAGGGCAAAACCCCTGCACCAGACGGCGTGCGTGTTGGGGCGCTAGGGCACCTCTTGGCGAAGGGCATCTGGTTGCCCATCCTCTAGATCCAACACGGTTTGGCGGCCGGTGTGGTTTTGGCCGAGCGGAGGCGTGCCGCTATTGTCAAACTCTTGAAACCTGTTAAGTCGCCCAAGCAGTTAGAGCCGCACCGACCCACCAGCCCCACCCCCATTGTCAGCGAGGTTGCTGAGAACATGATACTGACTGAAGGGGCTGCTTTGGGTATGGATGCCGCGCCTCCACCAGCATGCGAGCCACAGTGTACGCGCCGCGGCGGTGTAACTGCCCCGCATGGCTCACAAATCGGGGCGCAACGGAAACGAACACTTCCCGGCACGTCTTTCAAAGAATGGTGTTGACAACTATCCACACAACAGATCCTATCGGATAACGCTCGCGCTGGTTGATTTTAGCGAGGCTTTTGGCTCCATTAGCCATCGTGCCCTCGGGCGCCCACCAGCCAATGTGCCACGGTGAATAGCCGAAGGTAGTTGCAGAATTTCCTGCCAATTGAACGCCCAAACGCCTCGGCCGTACTCCAATGACTCGATATTAACGACGGCCTCCGCACCGCAAAGTGTTCTCAACGAAAGTTGCTTCAAAACGGGCGGCTTTTGTCCCTGCACGGCCGGCCCCAACGCGCCCCTATGGTTTCGTGTGCCCAGGCGTCCGGGAACAGGGGGGTCGGGGGATGAATTGTTCACCTAAACCTCCTTCCTCTGCCTGCGTTGCCCAACGGCATTTCATCTTCGCCCAGAAACAATAAATATATATTTAACGCACCTTAAAAGGGAGCTGCCTAACGGGA